CTTGCAGACAAGCTGGTCATTGGCATCCTTTTAGAGGGTCTTTTAGCTATGCAATTTGGGACGAAGACCCTTGGAATGGGGGGGTGGGAGTAGGAATGGATTTCCAGAAGAAAAAAATGCAGACTACGGGAACCAGGAGCACCACTTAGGTGACCCTGAAGACACAGATAAACCTCCAGGTGGCCTCAACGACTCTCTAAAAGGATGCAAATGTCCAGCGGTCTGCAAGGAGTATTAATCCTTCCATTTCCCACTGTCCTGTCAGAGCTGAAGAAGTTTCTTGGGTGAGAAACGAAAGTCTTCAAAGGAAAAAAAAAAAAACAGGAAGTCCGGTTGCCTCTTGGGGGGGGGGGGAAGCACCTTTGGGACACAGCTTTCTTTGCACCCTTCGCTGCCATGTTGACTTTTTTGACCCTCCTTCGTGGGTGTCTCAGTTCTATTGCATCAACCGAGAGGATCTTCTGTCCCACATCTGGTTTTTGTGCGGCTGTGGAAGTTGACCAGGCTTCCAACAGGATGATGGGCTTACACTACTTCTGTGTTAGGCTTACCCGGGGAATGCTGGGAGTTGAAGTCCAGGAGTTTTAAAGTTGCCAAGGTTGGACACCCCTGATTTAATACATGACTTTAATTTTAAAAAGTTTTTAAAAAATTTAAAATGTAAAAAAAAACCATTCACAGACACGAGACAAAGAGAAACCCACGGCTTCACCCCTAAGGTTCAGGGAAGGAGGAGGACGCATCTGTGTAGCTTTGCAGCCCAAGCTGGATTGAAGAGGTGTGGTCAACAGCTGGGCGTGGCCTGGAACACCTGCAGCTGAATTCCCACGCCTTCCCCACCAATCCAAAAATGGCACAGCGGCCCTTCCCTGAGTCTCCAGTGGGGGACCCTTACTCAAGACACAGTGCAATTATCAAGAGCCACGGTGGGCCGAGTGGGACCCTCCTGATAGTGTTCAAATCATCCCATCGTCTTTTCCCATTATCTGCGTGGGCAGGCATTGCCAGGAGCGGCCTTTGGACAGTCTTCCAGATCTGTTGGCTGTGAATTATGGGTCTTGGGTCCCAAGGTCCATGCGGAGAAGCAGTTGAGAAAGGCTGCTGTCGATCTGTTTTCCTTTTTTCTCTCCTGGGTACGGGGAAGAAAACATGTGAGCTTTTGACCTCAATGCTGTTAAACCAGTGTTTCTCAACCTTAGCGACTTTAAGTCCACAGGACTTAAAGTCGCCAAGGTTGAGAAACACTGTGTTAAACTGCCCCTCATTTACTGTTAGCCATGTGCGTTGGGGCTGACAGGATTTGGAGGCCAACTTCTGGAAGGGCTCCAGTTTCTTTCTTTCTTTCTTTCTTTCTTTCTTTCTTTCTTTCTTTCTTTCTTTCTTTCTTTCTTTCTTTCTTTCTTTCTTTC